ACTTTGACTTTCTCTCCATCCTTCACACCTAATTGTCCTCTCCCCCCACACCCCCGCCACCCCGCCATTTTTTCCCTGCTTTTGCTGCTGTCATTCTCCATTTTTCTGCTGGGTGAAATCCAACTGGCATCTTGGGATTTCTGACGGTTTGGCTGTAGATTCTTTCTGACCCTCCCTCGCCATTAGAAACATTGTTCCTTGCCTTCTCTAGGCTCCAAAGTTCTCACTTACTCCTTGTTCATGACAACATATTGTGTCATAATTATATACCGCTCTCTCCAACTAGTCAGTAGTCTGTGGCAACACAGGACCCCCTGAATGTTATAGTTATTCTAATTCTCTGCTAGTTTTCTCAAAGTGTCTTAGAACATTGGTTCTGTAGGATGTGAATAAACACTTATCTGGTGTTTATTGTGTTACAGGGACTGTTAGGAATACTTTTGTATATAGGTAGGTAATTGTAATGTTTATATTCATTTTACAGATGAAGAAGCTGAGTAACTTACTGAAGATCATAGCTAAGAAGTGGTCATAGCTAAGAGCCATGATTCAAACCCAAGCAGTATCTTTCAAAGTTAGTGTTGCTTACCACCACATGGCATCACCCATCTGGTTAACAGGTATCGTGTGGTTAAAAGTTTCAACAATACCCAATTTAAGCAAAGTTACTGGGGGATGTGGAAACTTCTCAGAGCTTTTCATATGTTACTGCAAATTATAAATTTCCAAGAGGAGGGTCTGCTTAATAGCATTTCTCACACCTTCTTATTTTTCCCAGAGATTATTTTGCAGTTCATGTCCGTGTAAAGAAACATGGAAAGCATTACCTTAGATCAGTGTTTCCAAATTCATACCATACTATAAGAGAGTGATTTATCCAAATGCTAAATTGGATAGTTGAAATTATACAAGTGTGTGATATGCTTATATTTATCACATTCTTTAATGGTAGGATGACCAGTATTTCCTTTTTGGTTTGCTCTCATCTAGCTGAAGGGGCTGCCTTTCTCACTTTCTCATCCCAGAGACAGGATGGGTAGTTGGGAATCTCCCCTTCTCTGACACCTGCTCTGCAGAGGTTAAATGCCAGGGAAAGCAGGCAGGTGATCATCATTTCTTAGCTCCTGGGTGGAAGTTGATACTAGGAATAGGGGTGGATCTAGCTTGTAGGAATGGGCCACTTCAGGGGTGTTTATAGTTGTAGGGGGATGGGAAGGTAGACAGAAATGGGAGCTGGGTGGAGAGCAAGCTTTGAGGTTTGTGACCCTAGAACTACAGATGGATGGTGACTGCAGAGTCAGCTCAATGGAGCATTCTTGTCATGCCATAGACTCCAATCTTCATTTCTGCAGAGGCCCTGTCTCCCCTTAAAGCCCACCCTTCCCATCATAGGGTTCACAGCATGTATTTTAGTTCACAGAATTTTTTTGTTTGGTTGGTTGTTTTGGGGGTGGCACTGGGTTTTGAACTCAAGGCCTTGTGCTTGCTAGGCAGGAGCTGTACCACTTGAGCCATACCTCCAGTCCTTTATTGCTTTAATTTTCAGGTAAGTTCTTGTGCTTTTGCCTGAAACTGGCCTCAGCCTGCAATCCTCCTACCTATGCCTTCTGCTAGGTGGTACCACAGGTGCATGCCACCTCATCCTGTTTATTGATTGAGATGGGGTCTTGCTAACTTTGTTCAGGCTGACCTCAGACCTTGTTCCCTCCTTATCTCTGCCTCCTAAGTAGATTGGATCATGCCTGGCCTCACTTTATAGTTTTTAAAGTGGTGAATTGATGGGGTGGATCACATTTTATAAATTGGTAAGAATGTGTCATGGCTAGCCAGTTGGAAAACACGACCCTTAAGCACTTAGGACCAATTTGATCAGCTGTGTCCTTGGTAACTTTACAGAGAGCTCTTCTGTCCTCAGAAGAGGTATTTGCTTCTAGAGCTTTTAGCTCTATCAGGAGATGCTGAGTCTCGGCAGTAGTGAGTTCTGCAGGGCTGGAGTCTGAATGAGCTGTTGCTCTTCATGAGTCTCAACCATGAACCGCATGGAGGTACTGTGGTAACGCTGGGTCCTTTGTGGGGATGGAGGGTTTTGCCTGGACCATCCACTCAGTCTCTTGGCAGAGAGGCAGGGATAATGTATTAATTATTTTATATTCCCGGCCTGTACCATAGAGCCTGGCTTTGAACAAATGAATGATGAGTGGATTATGCATCCTAGGATTAAAGCACATTTCCTGGGATTCCTGGGGCTAAATGGCAATCCCAACAGCAGCAGGGACCGTTTGCCTTTCAAGGTTGTTTCAGTAGCTCAGTTGTACACTACTGCTTGTGGGTTGGTCTGGACCCCATCTTTCTCCAGCCCTCAACTTCCCAAGTCCTATAGGAACTGAGTTAGGAAGACAAGGGAAAGGGGAGTTGACCTGTTTCTCAGGAAGGCCTCAGACACTTTTTTTCACTCATAGTTTTCAAGTGACTTGTACTAGAAATCTAGATTTCTAGTGCGTGTTCTGTGACTTTTATGATTTCTTCGATGTTAAAATTTTATTAACATTTATTATAAATTCCTGTATATAAAATATTCCTGAGAGAGTACAAAATGCAATTATGAGAGATGACAGGATAGCTTGACTGGCTGCAGGCATGTCCTTCCATTCAGGACCCAGGGCTGGTGAGCTGTGTGGCCATAAGGCTTCTCCCTACATCCTCAGGGCACGTGAGTGGAAGTGTACTTCCCTGTCCCACCCCGTCCCACCTGTGTCCCAGGCCTGAATTTTGCCAAGCAGCCTCCATTTTCAACCATTGCCAGCCCACCCCACAACCAGATGTCTCTCCACGTGTGTGTCCAGAGTAACTGTCCCTTTAATGCAGGATGATTTTCTCCAGTCCCAGCCGAATCACCTGCCACATTCATCCGTTTGCCCACCCACTCATCTATCCATCCAGGCAACATTCTTGAACACCTGTGTGGCAGGTGCTGCATGAGGCACTGGGTCATGAATGGGACATAGTCACTTTCCTCAAAGAGCACATTGGGAGACAGACATGAATGACGTGAACAGAACACGATAGCATATGGCATGTATTAGACAAATTGCTGTGAGAAGATAGCAGGGGATAGAGAGAGGAGGAAAGAAGAGGGGAGAAAAAGTGACTCTAAAGACAATACATGTTTGCCACAGGCTTAGGTAGTGCTCAGCCCCTCTCATAGTTACCCTCTAAAGCAGTGACTTTTTGTATTTGTGCTTGACTAGCAAAATTGTTTTTCTAAATGAAACATGACATGAACTACTGGTAAGTAAAACAAGTGTTTTTGGTTAAATTGGGGCTAGGGTAAGGATGGATCTAGAGAGCTCTCTGCTTGGCTATAGCTGAGCTTTTTTTCCCAAGGTGGTAACAGGCAACTGATTCTGGATGATGCTGAGGCTGTCACATTGCCTTGGAAATGCCTAGAATCAACAGGTAAATTATAGCTGACCTTGTCTGTTCTGCCTTGGACACAAAGTTGAACAGTTAGGCTTTCCTTTTGGGCAAGAGATGACTGTAACACTCAGAAGGAAGGTGTGGCTAATTGTGAGGAATATGTTCCCTTCTTGGTCTTGCTGGCTCAGGGCCACTCTGTGTGGTGTGTTAACCTGTACCAAGGGGGTGCTGCTAGTGGACAATTTCTCCTGAAGGGAAAATGCCCATTCTGGGACTTGTTAGTACAGAGATCTCTGCTGAAAGAGTTGTGGGTTCTATCTAGACCTTGTCTGCAGTTACGGAAGGGAACACAAAAACTGTGGGGTTCTCTGGTGATGGCTGAGAGAATACCTGGTAGGAGACTAAGAGACCAGGCCTTTGGCTGACCATGTCAGTGAGTACTGTTACTGCTACTAGTTGGCTGGCCTTAACTGAGAGCTTACAATGTGATCAAATCAGTTTATATGTGTGGTTTAGTTAATCCTCATAACAACCACATGCATTAATAGTTTTGCTCTTATTTTGCTAACGAGGAAACCAAGGCACAGAGAAGTTACGAGTGATTACTGGGAGAGCTAGCATTCAAACTGGGGCAGTCTGGCTCCCCAGAGAATGTTCCCAAGTTCTCACTTTCTGTATCTTTCATATAGGCTCCATGATGGAAGGATCATCAGGGGCTCTGTGCAGCTTTAATTATAGTCGGCCAGTTCACAGTATATGTGCGTGTGTGTGCATTCTGTTTATACATACATTTTTCTTCTTAAAGACATCCTCCTGATGCAGGCAGGTAGAAGTTGGTGCCGGGATGTTTTGCTGACCAGTAGATAGAGGTTAAAAGAAATTCTACATTCCCCATGAAGTAGCTCCTGTAGGGCAGATCTGACTTAAGGCTGCCTCAACCTGGCATTCTGAGCTGGTTTAGAGGCATGGGTACTCTTGATTCAGGGCTGCAGACAAGGGGAATATGCTGGCTTTCATTCTTCCTTGCCCTACTGAGGCTCAGAGCCCTCTTCCTCATGATAACCTTGGACAATCTCTCTTTGAAGGAAGATGCTTTCTATCTGTGTGACTGCCTGGCAAGAGAGAAGGACTGGGAGAGGATTTCCTAGGGCACCTCTCTGTGCAGCTAGTTTAACACCTGAGCCCAGTTCCTGAAGGCCAGGATTTTTCAGTGCCAGCTCCCCCACTCCAGGCTGTATGGTGCCAGCAAAGGTAGTTTATTCAGAGCCCCTTGGTTTGGTTATCCTCTTCTGTGCCTTGGTGGTTTCTCTGAGCTCCCACTTGCACTGGAAGTTTTTAATTTGGGGTCATGTGACAAATTTATAAGTAGGAGGTTTGTAATGGGAGGAGGCAGAAAATGGAAGAATTTTGGGTTGTTGGTAGATTTTCATTAATCTTGCTTTTTCTCTTATTATCATGGAGAAATAGGATTTGTTTTTTTATAAAGGATTAGGATGTTTGTGTCATTCTGCAAGTAGAAATTTATGAGTTTTTCTTAAAATCAAATATTAAATGAGAAAACAAACCAAATATAAAAACCCAAAGCAAAAAAAAAGTCCGACAGAAAATGTCATTCTGTTCAAATTTATGGCCTGTAGGAAAAATTTCAAAAACACTCCTTCAAAGGGCCAAGCAGCAGGTCTCCCATTTAAGCTTCGCAACTGTTACAGGATCTCTCTCTCTCACATATCACTTTGAAATCTTACCCTTCTCATCTGGAATGATCAGACACCTTCCCCTGCTGTCTCTCATCTTGTGGGTCCGAGTAAAATGACCATTGTTCTCCAGCAGGGCATAGTTTTAGTGTCACACCATTCTGGCAAAGTACTGACACAACCCAGCATTATTCTTGCAGGTGCCTTTCTTTTCTGTCCTTTTTCTCCTGAGCCTAAAGAAATCACATTCTGAAGGCAGTAGAGTTTTCTAGGTTAGGGTGAACTCTGGATGCTTTCTAGTGGTCTTTTAGAGGTGAACGGATTGCTCCGTTTGGCTTCCCACAGTGTCTGGGTAGAGATTTGCCAGGGTCTCTAGTAAGGGTATGGTTTTCCAGAAAACTCTTGCTAAAATGCACTTAGAAGAACTTCCCCCCACTCCATGTTGTTTCCAAAGTCAATTTATTGAATATTAAGTCATAAAGCCAGTGATATAATTTTAATGAAAAATATCCTGTATCACTCAAGACTTTAAAAGAACAAAAATACCCCTCAGAAACACTGCTTTGAAAAATAATCACATTAACTTTACACACAACAGAGTCCTTTCTTAAGCTTTATTTAAGAAATCGAGTACTATATAGTCCAATATATATAAGACACATCCAGTATTGTGTTCCTGATAGCAAGTGCATAGATTTTGTTAAGATATCATTTTCACTCGATATAAACGTTTCATGGTCACATGAAGATAATATTCCCAGTGATTCTGCCCAAGCATGAGAGGAGAAAACAGAACACAGCAAAAATAGTGAACTACAACAGAAATGAAAAACAGAAACAGCGATTTAGCAGAACAGTCGATTCCTGATAAGTGAATAAGCTGATTGTTTGGTCACAATGTTTTATTTATTCACTTATCAGGAACGATTCACAGTATGTTTATGATGTTCACTGTGTTTCCTAGCCTGCTAGTGAAGAGGCTGAGCCCACGGAATGCACGCATGTGTTGTGGGCTGGGCAGGCCTGTGGCTTCCATCAGGAGGGACTGTTGACACTTCTCTAAGTTTTCCATGGTGGTCTATGCATGGCAAGGAGACCTTGCTCACACTGCAATGGTGCTTTACAAAATCAAAATTATGAGTATGAGTTTAAACAGGGACCAGTTTTGTAGTCATAAGTGTCTAAATGAGCTAGGAATTTTGTTCTCTTTGGAGAATTATTGTTTCTGTTGTTTTTCCAAAAACAGAAACTGGCTTTGTATTTCCTTTCCTCTCTCAACATGAGTATTTTGCCTTGAGCCAATGCTGGTTATATTTACTTTTGCATTTTAAAAATAAACACTTGCATCTTGGAGTTTGATCATCTTCTTTTTCCCATCTTCCCTCCCTCATGCCTCCCACCCCCTTCCCCAAAAAGAAAGAAAAGAGAAATCACACCCTTAGCCATCTTTCCCCACTAATGCTAGCAGTGGGTTTTCAGAGGCACACTGATGAAGGCTATGTTGAGATTTAAAGCAGAAGTGTCAGCAGAAGTCAGCTCCCATCCGTGCAGGTTTGGAGCTGGTGGAAGTCACTACCACTGATGTGTTTGGCCTATGGGTGAAAAGAGCTGACCTGACTGAAAAAATACAATCTTGGGGCCAGAAGGTCAGCTGAAACCAGAGGGCGGAAAGGCTAAGCACCTGCAGGGAGAAATCTCATTGGCACTAGGTGCTGGGTGGCCTGAGGCAGACAGCTTGTGTGTCTGAAAAGTTGGAAGGAGTGAGAAGACATAGGGAGCAAACATTGATGGAATCTTTTAAGAGCACTTTAAGAGCAGTCAGATTCCTGAGCACAGGAGATGGGCAGAAAAGGGAGGAGGGCCTGTGGCTTAAGATGTAGAGGGTACGTAAGTAAGTCTCTTTCTGGTAATGGGCATTAGCGATGGTGGGAACACGGCTTACTTCTGTGTGTTTGTCCAGGAAGGAGTGTGGCTGTGTATGGCATTGTGAGCTGTCCTTTGCAGTATGGCATTGTGAGCTCCACCTCCCCCTCCAGACCAAGTAAAGCTTCCATTTGAATACATGGAACTATTTCTTTTCTCTTCCATTAGTTTTAATAATTAAAGCTGCTGCTGAGTTCAATTAGCTTGTAGAAATAATGTAAATTACTTTTCTATACATATCTATTGATTGATGGCAACACAGAGACTTAAGTTTAACCCTTTTCTCATCTTCCATTCACCAAATAAGTTTACTTTTTCCTTCCTTGAGAGATTACCTCCTTTGAAAAGGTGATCAGTTTCTAAGAAGAGCTTGACTGTAAAGATATGTCTTTGGACTTGGGGGTTAGACAGACGAAACCCCAGGTCTGCTGCTGCTTAAGGTTGCAGCAGTAAACTTCAGTGAATGTTAGGAACTACATACATATATATGCAGTATATATATTTGTGGGGGAGGGAGACAGATCAGAAGAGGTGAAAAAAACCTGTGTGGTCAAAAGACCATAAAATGACTTGGCAAATCCCCCTCAGGAGGCAGTTATTTAGGTGAACCATAGGAAAATGTGATTAATCTGGGCAGTGGCGTTAAGAGTAGGCTGCTGTAGATAAATCAAAGGAGGCTGGTGTGCAGTTTCCTCTTTCCCCAAATCAGATATTCACTTAGGTGGAATCGACTGTATCTTTTTACACAACATATAGAAAAAAAACATACGTGAAACAGTGAGGTGTGTAGATGTATCACCAACACAGAATGACTACCAACAATACAACACGCAGAGAGAGAAACAAGTATTAGGAAAATGGTTTAATATTGGAGACAGAAGCAAAAAACCGCATCACACAATAACATACATTACAAAAATAAGTTTGACTGTTTTAACTACACGGTTATGTTCACAATGAGGACAGAAGAATCAGAAAAAACTTTAAACAGCAAAAAAGCAAACCCCTAAAGTTAACTAATACATTTATCCACTTAAAGTGACTGAGTACTTCTAAATCTAATTACCTTATTGTGTAACTGCACAATACAGAATAAAAAGTGAAACTTACCGCTGTATTTTAAGACAAAATTCTAATGCTAGATATAAGCAAAGGGAAAAAAGAAATCAAGCCAAAGTTTTTAATTCTTAAAAGAAAAGCAACTTTCTTTCTATCAACCAGAAATCAAACTTGAAATCAGTCATTGTCAGGGGGCCCACAAGAGTAAGCCACAAAAATTTCCATTTTTTTAATCTCCAGTATAAAAAGTTCCACTGGTACAAAATGCGTAAGTACAATCAGTTGTAGAAATAGGAAAGCCTGCGTATTTTTTTTTTTTTTTGGCTCAAATTCCATCAAACAACAAAATCCAAATGCATCAATAAAACAAACAATACTCAAATGGTCTTACAGTTTCCACTAGGTTTCATTAACTTTGGCTTTTCTCAGACAATATTTAAAATCTATTTTGTAATTCTAAACAAAATGATATTAATCTACAAACAACAATTCTCACAGCACAAAAAAACACATTTTTGTATGACATTATTCAAAAAGTTAATGAAACTACAGTTTTTTTAAAGATTTTATTCTTTTTAATTAGCACTTAAGATAATAAAAACAAACAGTAAAATGATTCCAGAATAGCACAAGCCAAAGAACTATAACCCCTATGGTGAAAGAAAGATGAACTTGTTACGCCTTTAGGACTGCCATTTTATCACAATTCTCTAATTTAGTTTAAAAATGACTACTTCTACACTTGATTTTAAAAAAAAAGCAGTTTCCCTGTGTTTTGTCTTCTGGCACAGGCCCTTTGCACCCTTGCAGCTTTTTCTATTTGATACTAAAAGATAAAGGGACAGTTTGTCTCTGAGGAGGGTTATTTTTCTAAAAATGAAACAAACAAAGAAAAAAAAGACTTTCCCCCTAAATGTACTGTACTGTCTTGGTTGCCTGCAAAATCAGAAATGCGCTACTGAAAATGCCCACCTGATCCTTCTGTTAACTGTACTCAGGTTTTTCTCTGGGGGAGATGCAGGTGGGTTAAGAGGAAAGGAAGGCAGTTTGCTTCAATGAAAAAAATGAGAAAAAAGTTTTTGAGATTTATGTAATTGATAAATGAATAGATGTTGATGGTCTAAGAAATTCAAATGGTAATCTCTTGTGTGTCTATGTATGTATCTACACACCATCATATAGTAGATGAGAGAGAGAGAGAGAGAGAGAGAGAGAGTGAGATCACTTTTATTATTAAGCTGAGTGCTGCAGGAAGTACAAAATAGCCCTCAAAGGATGATGGAAGGCCCCGGCAGTAGTAAACACACGTGAGGATAATACAGATCATCTCATTAGAAGTGCATGTGCTAGAATAAGGAAACTTTTGTTTTTTGCATTAGAGGCTAATCCTTTCCATCCCAGGGCTATCACATCCAAACACATTAAACCAAACAGGGTGAATGAGTAGGAAAAGGGAGCTGAAACTAAGAAGCTTTCAGAGGACCTGCTTTCAGGAAGGCTAGAGTTTGTATTGGGGTATAGGTATGAGTTTAGGGTTTGTCCAGACAGCCAGATACCTATTCACAGAAAGTCAAAGTCAGAGTAATATGGCACTTTAAAAAGTGGCAGCAGGAACTGGTGACTAGGTATTTGGTCAGTTATTGTGATGAAAAACCAAGCTCTACTTATATGGCCAGTCTCTTTTAAATATACTCAATTTAAAAGCTAGAAAACCAAAAAGGAAGGGAAAGGACTATGAGCTTCTCACTCCAGATATCTTGCTTATTCAGAGGCATCTGCTGGGGTCAAAGAATCCCCAGCACAATGGCTGATTCATCATTATTTAGGAGTATTTAAGAAACAAAAGTAAAATTCTTTACACTATCTACCACAGAAGTCATTTAACTGTAAGGTATGTGAAAGTATTCTAGACTAAAACATACCACTAAACATGATCTGAAATAGCATACACCATTTTTAAGGTTTATTTAGGGGCTGACTCTACTTACTTTTCCCTTCAGAGAGTTTATCCAATAAACTGTTTTTAATTTAAACTGAAGGAGCATAAGATATTAGGAATTCAAATTCCAGCAGCACATTAGGAAGTAAAAGAAAAAAATGGTACAGTAAAAAAATCTAGAGAGTGTTTTTCCCCTTCAAATTGATGTTTTGGATCTCAAAGGGTAAAAAAAGTAGTGAAAATAAATTCAGAAGATATGTGGAAAAATCCAAATTAGGAATACCACAAAAATCAAATTGGGAATACCCCAAAAGCTCAAACGATACAGTATAAAAAGTTACCAACATTCCAGATAGCTCTGGGTAGAAAGGGTTAAAAGTTCACAACTTTCTCACCTTAGAGGTTTCCATATATTATGAAGAAAATACATTGTGAGGTTGCCTTCACAGCGTTGATGTGCAGAGTGGTTAAAAAAGTGAGACATGGGCACTTATACAATGTCTTACAAAAAACATCATAGAGAAATAACAAACAATAACAATTTCAGGCAACAAGACCACAGAATAGCAAGTTAACAAACTTTTTAACCTTTTTTTTTAAATATTAGGGATTTATACAAAACACATAATAAAATACCCATGTTATCAAATTACTTCTCACAAGAAACACACTGAAGCTCTAGGAAGGAAGTACCTTTGGAATTTGGCACTATATATTTTCACTTTTTTTCTTTAAAAGAAAAAAAAACAAAACAGATCACATTTTGCTGAACACAAACACATCTAAATAGTCCACAATAAAAAAAAAATGACATCAATGCTTCACAAGCCAACACAAAACTTATTCTGGAATAGTTTTTTTTTCCTCACATGAATTTTTTTTTTAGCAAACAACTTTTTTTTTAAATTCTTTTTTGTTTTAAGTAAACCAATTCTAAACTTGTCTTATCAACAAAGAACATTAAGACCGTAAGACTCATGATGAAACCACAACTTAATTCACAGAAGCACCAACATAACACAGTTTACAGTGACCTTTCTCCTGTACATTGAAACAGTATAAAATATAGGTAATTTCATGTGCATTAAACCATGGATTGTCTAACTGTGAGTCAGTTCAGCAAAAGGTGACACAAATAGGTAGCATTTGCCCCAAAACAGGGTAAATATTTTTCTTATACTAATCTACAAAAAGTGGTTCTATATATATATCTTAATGAGAAAGTGAGCCACCTAAAATGGCCTTATCAAAAAACTTTACACTGCCTGAAAAATGTAAAAACTATTACAGACCTCTAGAGACTTAAAATCAGACAGTTTTTTTCTCAAACTGTTTTTGGAAGTAGTCTGTTAGAAACCAACATTCTGTGTCCCTGGACACATATTGCTATTGTTACCAGTGACCGGGAAGAATGCCAATCCCTGTATAATACTTTCAAGTCTGTTTTATGAAAAGAAAAAAAAAATAAGAAAGAAATATTTTTGCCACAGGTTTTTTTTTTTCTATAATTTGTCTAATAATTTCAGTCTTGCATGAATGCAGCAATGTTTTTCACATTGACTTCCCAGAATTCATAGCTAGATGAGGTCACATGCAAATTTCAAAGGTCAAACTAGATCAAAGGTCAGTAGGAGAACCAAATATGATGTGAGGTCAGAAAGACATCAGAAACAATGACGGGACGATGAAACTTTTTTTGAGACGCCACAGGGACATGCTAGGCAAACGATGAACTAACGGGCATGAAGATGTCTAGGGAAAAAACAAGGAAGAGTAAAAAGTTACACAGAATCTATGCAGCAGCAACAAAATCACTTTTAAGGGTGCAGGAGAAAAACTAATGCAAATCTTAGGTCTTTAGGGAGTCTATGAGCCATTCATGTAATTTGCATTTCTTACACTCTTTTTCCACAGCACAATGAAAACCCCAAGAGAATCCATCTGGAGAGAGTGAGAGGGGATGGATTCCAGGTGTTTTGGGGTGAGGGATTGGCAAGGGTTAGGGGAGAGGGTCCAGTTTCAACAAAGGTGACATACTGGGAAGTCAGACGACTGAACTGTAAACTAGATAATGGAAATTACGAACAAAATAATCAGACAGATACAAACAACGAGAGGATAAAGCATGAACTTTAGGTCTAGGGTTCAACGGTGAAAAAAAGCCCATTCCTAGAACAATTCCTCTAGAGACTACTTCAGAAAGTTCTAGCTAAACAGAGAACTGCTCTTTAGGTATCCAATAAGTTAACAATAGGCAATAAATAACTTCCATTATTTCTGAGGCAGTAAAAATTTTGTATAAAAATAGAAATGCTTTTTTTACAAATAAAATTTACAGGCCTGTGGCTTTCTTTTTATTTATGTATTCTTTATGTATTTATTATTATTAAATTTATCTTTCAAGAAACATCAAGTATTTTCACTCATTTTTATTTTATTTTTAAACCCTGTAGCTTTAAGAAACAGATCTCTAAATCTTTTTTTACATTAATCCTTTCTAAAAACAAAAATAAAACAATAACAAAATAGACAACCAGTGTAATAATCTGACCAATAAATGTCATGTTTCTTTGAACCCTAAAATAAAATCCTACTTATTAAAACAAACCGATGTAGTGGAAAGACGGTTTTTGTGTTGTTTTAAGTGCTTCTCCTGGCTTCTCCCTCTGCTAGGCCACCACGTTAACGCTAAACGCTGGGGGCCCTCTGGAGAGGCAGGCGCGGACAAGGAGGGGTGAATTCTCCAGGCAGTGCTCTTGGGGCACCAGTGGTTTCAGAGTTAGAATTGCACATTAGCGTTTGTTTGCCTTTTAATTTCTCAAGATGTCATTTATTTGTGTATGTTTTTCTTTAAAAAAGCAAAAATGAAAACAAAAAATTAAAAAAAAAATAAAAGGAGATTCAAATTGCAAAACAAAGGAGAATACAGTGGTACAACTGGAGGAGGAATTTACTCAATAGAAACAAGGTAGCCCAAGTTTTAATTATGGCAAACTGGGTAAGGGAGGATGGGGAGGGGAATGGAGGCCTTATTGTAAAAATAACCGTCTCTCTTGGTGAAAGGTGACATTGTGATCCTCCTCTGCCTTCCCTGTTGAGAACAGGCCGGCTCACGGGACTTACCCTAAGAAAGCTAAAATAAGAGCAGGGAGCCTCTGGGGTTAGGATCAGTAAGGTTTGCTGTCATTTTTGGAGCGCTTCAGCTGCACCTTCAAGCGTTTCATGCCGATCTGAAAGCCATTCATAGCCTGGATTGCAGCTTGTGCAGAGACTGGATTGTCATAGCTAACAAAACCTGGAAAACACAAAAGGGAAAGAAGGAGGGAGTCAAGATGAGAGGAAGCAGAGCAGAAAAGTGGGATCAGGGCTTTCTGGGATGGCTGCATAATGTAACTGCACATGCTAATAGGTTCAATCGAGTTCTCTTAGATTTATGGTGTACCAGAGCATACAGGGCATGTTTTAGGGACATACTGGAAATGTCCACCACTGAGAAGTAGCGCAAAAGCTAGTTGCACTGGTAATTTTGGTAGGTAGGACCAAAAAAAAAAAAAAAAAAAGAAAAACTTCTTCCCTAGAGAACTAAAATCTCAAAACTTGTTTGAATTTAGTTCCTTTATTTCGTGCTTTCAATTCAAATCTGTTTGTGCTTTAAATCTATTACAATATTTCTGATAGAATCCTAGATAGATAGATAAACACTACACACTTAAGCAGAGGTATAAATATTCCAGTGCTCAAAGGGACCCCAGAAACTCACATGTCCTAACCAGATGAGGCTTAAAGGCAGGATAGTTCGGGAGGGGCTGGTTAACAGTGCATTCCAATTCTCTCTATACAGAGATATAAACGTTCATAGATCCTACATCTGTTTGGCCATAGGATCAATTAGTGAACAACTTGAATTAAAATAAGATAGACTTGGTTTTTAACATCTTGGAGTTATTACTGAGACCAGCCCAGGGAAATGCTGTGCCTTCTCTTTGGCTCAGGGCTTAAAAACCATCTCAGCAAATTTCCAGTATCTTTCTCTGCAGCAAGAACCACCACCACAAACAGTAGGGAGGGCATGCTTTTGAAAAGCAAATGAATGATGCTCTGGAAAGACCCAGAAACAAGAGAATTCTGAACATACAGTTTGTTCTAACAACAGGGGGTAAGGTTGAGGCAGGGGTACAAGCAAAACTTTAGTTCATGTTGAGGCAAGCGGTGAGCTTAAACAGATCCTACTGACGTTTACCATCAAAAGGAAGTTGCTGTACAGATATAACTTCAGCTCTAAACATCAGCTGTTTGTTAGGTTATATACTAATCATCTCCATCTATCTACTGCTAAAGTTTAAAGTGAAAGAGAAAATTCCTTTACAAATTAGAGAAGGAAGAAATGAACATAATATACTTTGAGCAGAGTTCTCAGCCAATAAAAATGCGCACATGGCATAAGGCAGAACAATTTTCACAGGCAGGCTAAAAATGGTTGCTTTCATTTGTATTAAATCTAATTCCCAATAAATGTAATCTTTAGTCCAAGATTTTTGCTGTGATTTTTATCTTTTCCTTTCCCTCAGGCTCTTTATCCAAAAGTAGCAAGATGATTAAAGAATGAAAATGGGTCAAGAGTGAGATGGATAACAAAACCTGGCCAACAGGTATGAATAAAAGAATGAGTGCCATCTTATGACTCACAATCCAGCAAACCTGGGGCCTGAAGAAACTACGCTAGCTCACTGAGAGACCTGGGATGTTAAGGCTTTTAATAAATACTGGAAACACAGCCCCTAATACTAAATAATGGTCTGCTGATTCTCACAGCTATAGCTTAATAGATTGGTTAAATAGTTTGTGGACTGATTCATAAATGGCCTTTTTTTTGGGAGGGTGCAGTATTGGGGATTGAATTTAGGGCCTCACATATGTTAGGCAAGCACTCCACACTTGAGCCATGCCCCATTCCTGGGCTGATAAAATTTTTTTTGTTTTTTTAAGAAAGACAAAGTGTTTTTGCTAGTTGAGTTGAGGATATCTATACAGAGAGATTCCTAGCAGTGATACGATCTTTTTTTCAAGGTAATATTTTCTCAGATCAAACCATGAAGCTGGTCCCTTTCTAATCTCCATATAAGCTTAGAACACTATTTAGCTATGAGAAATATAAAAGTCTGTCTCAAAACTTTGCGCAGAGAATCTTCCCAAAAGCACCCCCTACCCACACACATTCTGTCTAATAACTTAGTTTTTACTTCACCCATAAGCCATTACAAAGAGCTTTATTCCCAGAGCAGCAGCCATAATGTAATGGGTTCAGACTGACCACCTTTCTACTAGGATAAAAACAGCGTCTCAAAATGGTTGACATACTAATTCCCCTAACAAACAAGGCTCAGACCTTCCTGGATAATGGTGTAGATATCAGAAAAGCATTACAAATGCTTTAGGAGCTAAAACATTTTCTCTGGACTTTAGTTTTTGAATGTTTGAGAACCACTCTACCTTAGATATTTTCCTGGTGACATATTCTATGTGTTTCTTCTGGCCCATATCTATTTTATTTTAGGCTATTGTTACTGCCTCCTACCAACATGAATTATTAAATTACAGAAGTGATTAAAGCAAATGCTCTAACTCAAACTGGGCCAGAGCTTGTCAAACTTGTAATATATGCTCTGAACATATTACTTATGGGGCAACATTGATCTGAAAAGTAAAACTAGGAATTAATGAATGTTGTCCTCCTGGTATAAAAACATCAGCACATGCTGGGTCCAGTGGCTCATGCCTATAATCCTGGGTACTCAAGAGGCAAAGATCAGGAGGATAGTGGTTAGAGGTGAGCTCAGGTAACAAATTAGAGAAATCCCATCCATCTCAACCAGCAAGCTGGGTGTGATGGCACAGCCTATAAACCTAGCTACACAGGTGGTACAGGTAGAAGGATCACAGAGCCTAGCCCTGGGAAAAAATGTGAGATTCTATCCTAAATGTAACTAAAGCAAAAAAGTGCTGGGGGCATGGCTGAAGTGGTAGAACACCTGCCAAATAAGCACAACTCCATAAGTTCAAACCCCAGAACCACCAAAAAAAAAAAAAAAAAAAAAAAAATCAAGACAGTTTTGAGTTTTTCTTATTCTCTTAGGGAGCAAGATTCTGGACTGCTTGAGGAAAATTGGCATGACAGCTAGGTGCACTGAGAAGCTGAGTTATCTAGTGGGTCATATCGACACACTCCTGTGCTCTATATCCATTCATGCAGGCCCTGCCAGTCTTATAATCCTCAATTCTGGTCCTCTAATCCCATCAGTATTTTATATAACCAGGAGATATAGCAACTGCTTGTCCTGTGCACATGGAGCTTCAGTGTGGCAACAATTGACCAAATACCTGCTTGTGAAAGTGTCTAGGTACTGAACAGTAAGCCCTAAAACAATAAGTGATCAACACCACAGTGTCTAAATTGTATTAAACCTGGTAGAGTACAGAGTTAGTGGCACAGTGTTTGCAGTGCTGTTCAATACCAGCAGAAACGAAACTATAGTCTTTCAACCATCTGATAAAAATTTGTGGTTCAATCTGTACAGCTTCTGCTCTACGGTGAAACATAATTAGGTATATATAGGAAGATACTTTAATAGTACAGTATAGAATATTACCTAAGGTAAGGGAAGTTTCCAGATCATTCTTTTATATAGCCCCCTTTTTGATTAAAAAACTTTCCCCGAATCTGTTTATATGCATCCAGTAAATCAAGAAACGCTATGACAAAGAAAAGGCCCTATCCTGACTCCTCACTCAGAAACCTACTGTAATGTTCTAGCTAAGTTTCTTTTGCATACCAAAGCACTTGCTCAGATTGGTCTGTTTGTCAATGAAGACTTTAGCAGAGATAACATTTCCAAAAGGCATGAACATCTGCAGAATGTCTTGGTCGCCAAACTCCTGTGGAAGGTGGTAAATAAAGAGGTTTGCCCCCTCTGGACCTAAAGAAGAAGAAAAAACCAGAATAAGGTATCCCTCCAGTCTTAGTTCCCAAAGCCTCTTCCTAGGAAGACTTTAACAGGTAGACTACGCACTCTGCTTTCTGTTATAAAAGAACAAACAGATAGATAAATGTCAAGTGCTGGCATGTCTTTTAGGAAAGCAATCATCCTTCAGCTTTTTCTAGTTTCCAGAGAGATGTTAGTTACAGCTTTCTTTTTTACAGTCTTATGTGGATCACATGTATTACTGCCCATTGACACACAGGTGATTCTCCTCTGCATGGAGGTGAACATGGTAGTAGGCAGGAGAAGGATAGAGAATCTAGGCATTTTTTTCTTGGGTGGCCATGATTTCTCTTATGTATAAACTATCTCTTAAAGGAGAAGAGAGTGTTCTGTGCATTCTAAGCAAATTGTAGTAATGCTGCTCAGATCTCTCAATTATTTACCCAGTTATCCAGTCAGTTTTGATTTGTCAAATCTATTATCACACAGTATAATAATCATCTTTATTAGAGATGATGAGTCAACAGGGGAAAAAAGGTAGCTATAGTCTCACAACTTTTGTAGGAATTAGCCTGGGAAATGAATGCAGTGGATGTAAAAGCTTCTCAAAGACTGAGCTAAGCCAAGTCTTTGCCTTTTACCCATTTTTTCCCAGCAAATACCAGAATCAAAGGCAGAATTGGGAAGACTTGAGCTATAATGATTAGAGGGCTAAGCTCTTCATTTTATTCCTCAGATCTACCCATGTGTAAAAGATCTCCCTGCAGGTTAAAATAGAACTTAAATGAACTGGACAGATAAGGACGGAATGCTGCTTGGACATTGTCTAGGAGAGAAGAGAGCTTACAGAACTGGTGAAGTAACTTCTGTAACTGGCTTTCACAGGAGGGGAACCAGGCCTGCCTACCCCATTGTGAAGCTCCAGAGGACAGGCTGCAATGGATTCCCTAGAGATGGGGAAGGGTATCTCTATGTGTGAATGATGAGAAATAAAAGGGGGATAAAAAGAACTTTGTAAAAGTAAGTAAATATACATCTTTGCAAAGAGATGTTCAACCAAGTTTCTTTTCCTGCTCCAAAATAAATAATTAAAAGTGTCCCAATGAACTGGACTTTTAACAAGGAAGAATTCTTGAGGCAAACCACTGAAGCCAAAGATGCAGTCCATCTTATTTTAAAATGCATTTACACGACTACTTTAACTTTCTTACTGCTTACAAATGTGATAGACATGTTCTCATTCAAGTGCAAGAGAGGCAGCCTGTGTTTTAAAGGGATACAGCTATAGCTTAGTGAGATCATTACATGCTTTCTGGCTTTAATGGGAATGGATGCAAAAAGCAAAACACTGGAAAGGGATGCTCTTGAGTGCTACCGTGCCATGCACATCCTTGCAATATGTATATTGGCCAAATCTATACCATGAAGTTTAATGCTCCTTCTAAATAAAAGACCCCAATGCACAAATGAGAATTGATGGGGCCCAATTTGAGTTTTAAAGTACATTTCTCCTTCTGAAGCCTGAGGAGAAAATATAATTTTAATGTACAGATTATGGGTTTGCCTGAATAATCCTGGATTCCAAAATGCTATGCATTCTGTCTGTATCTAGGCCAGAGAAGACGACCATGAAAATATAGATTGCTACACAAACCAAAGGAGCTTTGTTCTTTAGCTCATTTTCCATGGAAAAAAATGTCAGTAGTATTAGCTGGCTCCCCCTCCCTCATGTCCCATTTTTTCATCGCCAAGAAACAGTTTGATTTTTCAAGTGTCCCAAATTTTTAACGTTAAAATGAGGAAAAGGTAATTCTATATGGAAAACCTCCCTTGAATGCAGTGGCTGATGCCAAAACAACAACAACAAAAACCCAAACATAAATTCCTGTTTGAGGATTCCACTGAAGTCATCTTCTTTTCTATCTCTAAAAGTAATAAAAACCTATCTACAAAGCACCCTTTTGTCCAATTTCTCCTAGCACATGTTATTTTAACTTGGGAGAATTTTCTGTGTTACACTGCTATTCCCAGATGGTTGGTGTTCATATTTTATATTTCTCACAGGGCATCTGATACAGCACAAAACACTGGGGGGTGTCTGTGGGAACAAAAGTGTACTGGACACCAACGCCCACTGGCTACCTGGCAGCCCTAACTACTCTCATGCATAGGACTTGCTTCTTGAAATGAAGGGAGATGAGAAGGTAGAATGGTCAGGGGATTAGGAACGGCAAGAAAGGTGATGAGCTTTCCTGCATTAACCATTTCTCTGCAAAGCCAGACTAGCTCAATCTTCTTGTGGGAGAAAAGTACACCAGGATACATGACTGCATACCTCAAGTTGCCTTGCACTTCTCTTGACTAAAGGACAGACCTATGGAGTAGGAAATCTTAAAAATCTGTTTAGTACTTGAAATCATTATGTTTTTCTTCCTCTTGGTATAATGAATTAAATTTCTTGTGTTACATTAACTTGGCAAGAAGGTGATCAGAAGAGCGGTATGAGAAGGTGAGAGATGATGAAAAACTATAGAACCGAATAAACCAAAATCCACCACCCAAAAGTAAACTAAATCATGCTATTGGTAGCCCACATGCTTAATTAGGAATGGTAGTTATTTTTACCTGTTTTACAAATCCTTAAAACTCAAGGCAAAGAAATTAAGGGCAATGGGTTGGGGTGAAGCAATATAGAAAAATGTTGTTTTAGGGCCCAGACTTTATCCTTAAACCACTGAAAACAAATTTTGAATCTTTTGGTGATGGGTATTTTCTCAGTGATACAAGCTGTATATATAGCTTACTGTAATGCTGTGCTAGATAATGGAGAGGTGACCAACACCTCTAAAACTAAGTGGGGGAACTGGCTTTGTGTTTTTTGAGGTTTCATCTTACGGGATCCCTCCTGCTGCCCCCTTATTTGTCACTGTGGTAGACCCCAGACAAAGGGAATAAATAAATACAGCCTTTTCTTGGGAGAAGACCTATGGTGTTTATGATGCAGAGTCCCTTTCACATGCCTGGTTAACCACAGTTGTCTGAACAGTTGTGCATACTTAAAAAAACCTACAACAATAGTCATAGCTGAGAGTAAAAAGAAAGTTGGAATGAGGAAAAAAACCTAGACTTTCATATATCTTTGATTTTTAATGATTTCTGTTACATATTAAAAGAATAAACCTTTCCTTTTAAACACACGAACATCCTTTAAATTGTGTCCCCTTAAACAATCGTACTTCTACTTAAAAGAACACTGTTATTTAGACAAAAACAGTTTGTAACTATGGGGTGAGGGCAAAGGAGAAAGGAAAGAAATTTATTTGGACTAAATCATTAACCATTTTATAATTAGCTGTAATTTATTCTTAGCATTAACTTCCTGTTTATGTTGCCCTGTTTGGCAGAGAAGCAAGGTAATCAACCACTTACTTGCTTCCCTAGAAGACCCCCAATTAAACAAAGACTAAGTCAATCCTAACTGTGGATTTCATCATTAATCTGAGAACCATTGAGCCACACAATGACAGGGTGCATGGACTCCAAGACCCTGGGGAATGCAGGAGAAAGGCTCTCCACTCACACCAGCCTGGACTGATTCATCCTCTTTCACTAGTGAGGAGTTTCTGCCTGGAGGAGAGACTGATTTGGCAGAGCGAGGTCCTGGCAATTGTTTTCATGGCAGCAACTAGTAAGTAACTGCCTGTAGATGCACAGTGGATGAGAACTTCATCTTAAGATATGGATGGAAAATCAAAAGATAAATAAAAGATAAACAGAAAACTGGAATAAATGGGTTATGCTTGTCAGTTTTTTTTTTAAAGTCACGAATACTAGAAATTAAACAATTGATTTCTCTTATGACAGAAGTCCAATGCAATCTTTTAAGTATGCTCTAAAGGCAAATGTAGGTTGGGCTGGTCCTACCCTTGGGCCCATGTAGGCACCTACCTTCCTTCTGGCTGCCTGCAGCGCTCTGCTGTTGTAGCAAGCTCTGGCTGTACAGAGTAGGCAGTGCGGCTGCTGCGTACTGCTGAATTCCTGAGTAGGCCTGGGTGAGGGCGTCCATGGTGCCAGCCGTACCATTCGTCAAGCCTGTGGCGCCAAGTCCTCCATTCAGAGCCGCCATACCTGAGAGCATTTGAGCAACTTTACAAAAAACCCAACAATAGAGAAGAGAAATAGCACTTATTCATTAGTGCTTTCCAAAGGAAGTTAGAAAATCATTTGACACAAGTACAACAGCAAGTGCATGCAGCTAGCACACCAATTAAACCAAAAGAAAATAAAAAATGAAGCCGTGAAGAAATAAATCACAATAATGGGGTTGGAGGGGTGGGAAGAGACCTAAGCAATGATAACCCTCGCTCACTACGCCAGTGATCAAAATTCAAATTGAGGCACTACACTTAGACAGCACATCTTCATTCCATGCAGTGTGCTACTGGCAAGTACCACTGTTATATCTTTGTGAAACAAATGCTTTCTAGTTCTCAGAGCTTAGAATCATGTAAAAAAAAAAAAAACATTAGTGGCAGAGATCTGTAATATCTGCATACCTAAATCCATTTATTGGAAATTTTGAGGAGTGATGGGATGGCTCACAGGGCTGAGGAGGCAAGGATAAAATAAAACCTTTCCCTCTTAACCTGTGTGATGGGGAAATGGCAAGGTAGACAAATTCTGTACTTTAGACAACAGTGACCTAGCAGTGCCATTAACTGACTTGCTTAACCAGGTTGTTGTCAGAGACTAGGACTTCAGGAATAAATACATGGCCTGGTAATTTAGAATTAAGGAATGGGAGGAAAAATGGACCCTTCCCATAACCACAGAGAACTCAAGCCATTTATTCCCTACTAAAGGCACACATATGTTATTAATCAGTTTCTAGGCAACTGGCAATGAAACAGCTTCATGTCATGTTTTCTAGCCAACTGAAATGATACTATGTCTGGAAGCTGGATCCTGACAAAAGCTGATAGGAACTGCATGTTGACCAGTTGCTCTTCTGATCTTGTCATTGTAGCCTGGCTGCTCTAGTCCAGTTACTGATTGTCACATTTTCCTTGAGTGCTGAGTCAAAGTAAAGCAATGCTTCATGGAGTGTTAACTTTCATATGAACTCAGGAAATGGAAGATGTACATTGCAATTGCCCTGGTTCCCTTTATGATTAAAAAGGTCTCAAAGATCTTACAAAAAATAACTGAAAACATTAATGAAAATTAATTAGGATTATTGATAAGAGGTATTAAAGTAGGAAGGATGGCTAACTGAGAAAGTTGGTAAGAAGTCTAATGTGAATAGAGGACAGCTAAGATAAGGATGCATGCAAATGATATGAGTAACTGAGCAGCAGAACAACCTTATCAATGTTACAGTTTCCACACGAAATAGAGAAGGTGAGGAATGTCCTATTTATACCGTATGTGTTTGTTATTTTGCCAACTTCATCTCTTGGACTAAAAGGACAACATGCAACATATGAATTATGCTGTAGCTTAATAATGGTAGAGGGTTTGCATGTCACCTCAGGTCTGCAACTTGAGGAGATATAACTGGGGCTTGGGAAATGGTATGGACTACAATCTCTTCACAGAGGGCTGGGGAGGTTGGTGAGGCTGGTTTGAAGGCTGTAAGGATGGAATAACAGCCCATGGAGAAAGGAAGTGATTTCAAGAAGATCCAGTAAAGTAAGGTAAGGGGGGTTGGCCAGCAGAGGTCCTGGTGGATCTACTTTAGGTTTTTATTATGGAGGAATCTCTCTGTTTTTTTTTGTCAGCTGCTTGTGCAAATAAGCACTGTTAAGAGCTTAGTGATAGTTTCTCCTTCTAATTACTCTAAATGATCCCTCAGACATCAACTAATCAAATTTGCTTCACTGTCTCTTCTCTTCCCGTCCATCCCTGATAATTGTGGCTGCCAAATGGCTAGGAGTCATTTCTCTTTTCGCTCTTTGGTATTATTTAATCATTAATTCCCAGTATTCTGTACAAAGAAATGTCCATGTTTCTCTTCTGAGAGCATGAGGGGAAGGTGTAAAACAATTGGGATGGGGTGAGTTTTATCAGTTCTACTTTTGTCAGTGTGTTAACAGTTCCTAGGGATACAGATGATGATCAAGTGGTGAGCACATTCCTCTGGAAACTCAAATTCTTATGTTGTAGGAAATTCTGTGTCTAGAAATTCTTGCCCATGGAATGGGCGAGAGTGTCACATTATCCTAACAGCTTGTCAGATGGTGGTCTTGTCTTGGAGTTTTCAGGTCTTGCCACATAAGCCCTGTATGTAATCTCTTTGACTTGGCTTTTCTGGGGGGGCTAATACACACAGGTGGTATTTTATTGCAGTGGTCACTTGTGCCCCAGCCCCCTTCCTTCTGGAATGTGGCCTTTTTTTATTGTCCATGTCTGAAGGATTATCTTTGACTTTGAACTCTTTCCCCCGTTTTGCCATTTTTTTCCTCTTAAAAAAGAAACAAAATGAACTTCTGAAACACTGGAAATATATTTCAGGACTAAATGAGTCTTTGTGAGGCTGGAAGCTCTAGCAAATGACATTCTAGCCATGTCCTCCATCTCTCCTGGCTATATTTCACAGTGATTGGTTGTGTTTTAGGGCTGTACCACAGAGGAGATCTATTTTCTGGAGGGTTCTGTTTGCTTCTGTTGGTACTGTGCATGTAAATGATAGTTGTGTCTGGTCTTGCCTGCCTGAAGAAGGTGAGGGAGGTGACAGAGAAGGCGCTAGGTAGATGGACTATAGATGCCAAAGAGGGGGTTATGCAGGGACTTCTATAGGTAAGAGAGATTGGGTTTGTCCTCTCCATCTCAGGGCTTTCCTTCTCTATGGCATAACATCTTTTTAGACAAAAAAGATGGAAGTTTTGACAAGTGTATTACAAATATTTAAACCCAAAACTATTTTGGAAAATCTGGTGGGTGAGGTGTTTCCCAAATCCAGGGGAGTAGATAACATGGAAGAATTTGAAGAACTATCAAAGGAATATTTAAACTTTTGGGAGTAATTCCTGTGAATTACCTGATGTTGTTATTCTATATTAAATAACCATGGTATCAAAGACAACACTTGTCAACTCAGCTGCTATACGTGATCACCTCTAGAAGCCCTGGACAACAGAGGTAGAGGTATGAAGAAGGTTAAGTTGAATAAAATGCTTCCACTTAAAAAGAATAGGACGTTTCCTTGAAAAGGTCAAACGGACCGACCATCTCCTCCCATTTAATCTAGGTTCTCATGCCTGCTATTTGGATGTGGAAAGCTGAGAGAAAATGACAGGTGTGGTAAACTTCTGCAAGGGAGGGCTCCGTAACTGGTCTGACAATGTGGCTGGTGTGCAGGCTGACTGCTGAGTCCTTTATACTAATCACTCTCTAGTGGTCCTCAACTGACAGAGACCAAGGAGCTGTGACGTTACTGACAAAACCTATTAAAATGACATGGACACACCCACAAATAATTTGTGGCCACCATGGAGATGGTACTGAAGAATAAAATCAGAGGTAGTGTACCATAAGCAGACTACATTTATTTGTAAGCCACCCTGTTATGTTGTATACTAAATAAAAAGAGAGAGAGGAATGTGTATGTTCTCGTAGGTTTATAACCTATTTACTGAGATAGTTTTACTTTGCAGAGATGAGATACATCTTTCTAAGCTACAAGCTAATATGCAAGAACCTAAGTATAAAATGTCTGGGACCAGGGTATCCAAATAGGATTACAACTACTGGCACTTTCATGTATGTGTATGTTAATACGGTCACAAATGTACATGGGGCTGTGTATCTAACAGTGATCCTACAGTGCAAATAAAGAGTGACAAGCTACAATGGCATGCCCAAATCTCTCCTCTTTTTTCTACTTACCAGGCATTTGTGGCTAGATATGTTCAACCAGTTGTAATTTTAAGCACTATATGGTAAGATTATGCAATTTCAATAAATAAAAATAAGGATGCCACTTACATTTAAACATACCAAGTAAGGTACAAACTCAGGTGGACATTTTGTCCTAAGCATTTCCTTTGTCTTAGTTCAGATAGCAATCTACAAAACATGCCCAAGGAACCCTCAAGTAATCCAAAGGTGATAAAACCCTGAATAACCCTTATTCCTTCTTCTGAGCTTGCTGATTCCAGATTTATCTTTAGGGAGTTGTATTGTTTTTTCTTTCTTTCTTTTTGCATCTCAATTCACTAATGAAGGAAAAAGTTGTAAAACAGTCTCACTTAGCTACTAACCAAAAATACCCCTTCAGGGGAGGTGGGGCCCTCTGGCAGGGAACATCTTAGCCTCTTGGCTGCTTTGTCCATGGAAGAGTTAGTTTTATTCAGAAAGCCATAATCCTCTCCTATGGTAGTAATGGTACCATAGGAAACAGCAATGATATAGCAGGTGTGGTCAACTCTTGTAGGAGCTGACTGTAATCATTTCTTGATTGCCTTCTTTGAGAATTATCCAGTAGGACAGGTAGCATTATCATTTCTGCTGAGGAAGAATGATCTGAGAGGATACTCCATCCTAGCAGGTTTTCCCTTGATATTTAATTTAAGACAAGCAGCAAAAATTTCTAAAATGTTCAGACTGTAAAAGAGCTCTGTACTAGTGACACTTATCAAATGAGAAAGAACATATTGCCATTTGTGCATGCTTTTTGGTTAAACATTTTTCCTGGTTCATGCTGACTGGTAGAGGTTATGTTCTAGTTTCACAAAGAAACATTATTTCTTAATTTCCCACAAATTATACATATGTCTATTAACTCAATGGCAAAGAATTAAAAGAAGCAAAATAATTTAAGCCTGTTGTCCTTGCCAGAGCAAGTTTTGTATTATGACCCTACACAAGAACTAGTTGTGGTTTTTCTGCCATTCAACAAAGACCCCTTGGTTCTCAAGATAAGGATGGGAAAAGCCCAGTAACATACAACAAAGTAGGGTGGAGAGGAGCAGGACGCAGACGAGAGGACAGACACACAGCAGTCATGAGCACGTGCTGAGGAGGACAACCATTCCCACTGGCCTGTTACTCTGCAGACCAAGGACAGGCAGGCGATCAAATCAAAGTCCTTGTTTGAGGGGAACTAGGTCCTGGGGCAAGAGAAGCAGCATGAGGGATGTGTGCGAACACATACATCCTCAACCTAGGTGAAAGACAAGTGGGCTGGTGCTTCTGCAGGACAAGGTCAAAAAGAGTAGCTGTACCAGAAACAGGAGTCAAGGTCATGAGGCTCCTACGTGGCTGCTGGAAAACGTAAAAGCTAGAGGCAGTTTTAATTGGAATAAAAACATTCTGGCTGTCACATGGTTACCAGGTAAGCTACTATATGCTAATCAAAAGCCATTATATTTGACAGGAAAAGGTTTTCTTTTCCTTATGGTCAGATAAAACTCAGTCCAAGTTTTTATTTGGTTTTCCCAGAGCATCTGAAAGGACTTAATAAAACCTGAAAATTTTCTACTCCTAAACATATGATTTAGTGCCTTAACAGGGTTATATAAGTTAATCCTTATTTGGAAGAAATTTGGATTTTTTTACAACCAAATAAAATTGCATTATTCCTTTCGAGCTTTCAAACATAAATTATTGGAATTACTGGCTTTTAAAAATTGTATGATCTGATCATGCTCTAAAACCAGTTTACTAATCTTTGAATCATGGCTTAAAGTAGGGCAAATGACGACTTCTTTATTAGAAGCCTAAATGGGCAGAGGTGTTAGGCTGTATGGGCAGGAGGGTAGCCAACTAGTGCAAAACTCAAAAGCTCTGTTGGCTGTCATGGTCTTCTTGGGCTTGGATACTCTCAAGCAACCAGGGTGACTGGATGGAGGGACAGGCAAATTAGGCATCCCCTTTGAGGTCTGAGGATTAGTTTCTACAGTGCAAGAGCTTAAAACATGACTCATCCTTAGGTCTGGCCACTCAACCCACATATGCATCTAAAAAGCCAGGAAGAGATACAGGTCTGTTTTGTAGAGTAAATCCTAGAGTCTCTATGTTTTTAACCCAAGTGTAATTTGGTAAGTCTCACCCACTACAGTAAAATGGTGCTCTTTTATATAGTTATTGCTGTAGAAAGACTCATGCTTAATAAAGATTCCAGACAATGCCCTTTATGTCAGTGCCTCTTCCCCACTCAGTTTCATTTCATGCTTTCCAAAGCCTCATGTTCTCCCCTACATAATTGTCAAGAATCTTTGAATTTTAAAGTTGGAGGGCACCTGTAAGAACATCTGATCGAGAACCCTCAATTTTCAAATGGATGCTTTGAAGCCCAGAGAGGGACCAGGGATTTGCTTGAGCTCCTATAGTTAATTAGCAGTAGAGATGGGACACATGCTTCCCAACTTCCACTCCATTTTTTTCTATCAAAACACACTGTCTCACAACAGAACAGAAGAAAACCAAGACCAAACCAAATTCCTCAAAACTTGACTTATACTATATATTTGGAAAGAAACTGGTGGTAGGAAGTAGTTGGGCATTTGTGAGATAATATAAATGGGGATAACTCTTGCCTTGTTAAAGTATGTGCTCCTCCATCCCAAGTTTTAGTTCTCCCCATTCCATATCCTTTTTAGGTCATTTCTGGCTGACCATTTTCTGTGGAGAATTTGGGGGAAGGCTGTCCACCAGAGCAACAAATACTCACTGTTTATGGTACCTGCTAGTGCATTAATATTATTCAATCCAACAGTGGCTCCAGCCAGTCCTTGCAGAGTCCCAAGGGAGGTCAAGGAATTCATGGCTGCACCAGCAGTGGAGTTGGGGGTTGAAGCAGCCACTGAAAAACAAAGCAAAAAAAAGAAAGAAAAAGCACAAGATGAGTGGAAGCCAACTAGACTGAAAAGTAATCTGTCATGATCACAGCAGATAAACTGAGGAGTTACTTAATTGTTGCAAGTCTGTGATCCTCCCTCATGTTTTTCCCTGTAAAAGACGAATGGTATTGTACTGCTGGTCATTTTGTCAATTAGATTTGGTAATTAAAAAGATCATCAGAGCAGGCTGAGGATATAGTTCAATGCAGAGTGGGTGTTTTGTACACTCATGTCCCTGGTTTCCATCCCCACCACTGCATATCTGAGGATCATTTTGATCCTTAAAATGATCATTGTTCTGTTTTTCTAATACAGTGGTTAGTAGGGGAGTGCTTGTGAATGAAAGGCCTGCCATTTTGGGTTATCCTCCATTAGCCCACTTTAGTAGACTCTGCCCTCTTAGCGTCCTTGTCATCCAGGCTGAGAAATTACTCAAACAAAAGGCTGGTGGGAGAACAAGGTGGCAGTTTGTATCTTTTTTATTGTTTCTCCTTCAGACTTGAATATTCTCAGTGAATTTTTGGGAAAAATAAGAAAATTTTCCATCTTCCTGAGTTTGACAGAAAACTTTAGGATCCAGATGGCAGTGTTAATGTTAAGGAAATAAAACCATTTTGGTACAAACCTTTTTCTCCTATCCTAGTTTTCAGAAAAGAAACCACCTTTTTAAAAAATAACAGTTTTACTGCAGTATAATTCACATATCATACAATTGATTCCTTTACAATCTATAACTCAGTGTTTTTCAGTATATTCAGAGTTGTACAACCATTGTTATCTACCTTTAGATAACAATAACTTTTATTACTGTGCCTCCCCCACCAAAGAATTGTATAGCCCATCACACTTTCCACCTCCCTCTGGTCCCCTTTAACCCTGGTAGCTACCAATCTACTTTCTGTCTCTCTGGATTTGCCTAATCTGGATATTTCATATAAAAGGAACCATAAAATAGGTGACCTTTTCTGACTAGCTTCTTTTTTTGTGTGGTACTCTTCTTTCATGCATCCCACTATAGCTGGGATTACAGGTGTGTACCATGATTCCCAAAGTGGTTTTCCAAAGCGGCTTCCTTTTGTATTTATGTTTGCTTCTTAATATGCCAATTATCTTGCAATGGAATGGCTTTATAATATGATCTTCTCCAAGGATATCATTTTACTTTATAATGGTGATGAAGGTAAAGGCTGAACTTAATTCTGACAACTGGTGAAAGAAGCATTTGGTCCTTTTCTAGATGTGAAATCCTGAGCATATAAACTTTCTTTCCATCTCGAATAGCCAGCAACTTCACCCATCCTCCTAGAATGTTCCTGCCCAAGTATAACTCATTCTTGCACTGCCTTCAGAGACTATACAGCATAACTTGCAATGTACCTTTTATTTGGACGAGGCCAAATAAAATTCCTAAAAAATGAGTTCCCCATCTTGTCAAATTTCTGTTCATGTATGGCATTGGTTTCTGACATCTTACACTGTTTTTTTATTATATAAATATGTTTTTTTTTATTATATATAATCAAGTCAATGTTTTCTGTCCTCTTATAGTATGAAACTTTTCAAACATAGAAAAGCAGAGATAGTAACAAGACAAAATCCTATAAACCCACATCCAGATTCTAGAATGTTTAAGAACCAACCTACCCCTCTCATAAAATGTATTTTAAGATACATTTCAGACCTTATTTATCTCACCCATACATATTTCAGTATTCAGTTCTCACAATTATAGACATGTGGTTTTAAAACCCCAAGCCTATTATTATGCAAAGAAAAATTAGCAATAACCTTTAGCTTCACAGTTGAAAAGATTTTTGTGGAGATTATTCTGAGAAACTGAGATAGAAAATGTGAGATGTTAAGTGATATGGAATAGGTCTAACATATCTAGTCGAAGATCCTCAGGGGGAAAAAGAGAATGAGAAAAAGGAAATACAAGAAAAATAAATGACCAAGAACTTTCCAGAACTGATAAAAGATCAAAATAAACAAAAGAAGAAACCACACGAAACTTACAAAACACTCCCCCAAACACACAAGCAAATAAACAAACAGACCACAACACATATTCAGGAATCCCAATGAGTTCTAAGTGACAAAAATGAAAATAAATCCATAATTGTATTCACCACACAGAATACCAAAGATAAGGAAAAGATATTAAAGCATCCAGAGAGGACAAAAAATACCCTCAAAGGAATATAATTATATATCTCAATACCTGACACATCAATAGTAATAATGGAAACAAGAGGCAGTACATTGTGTTGAGGTAAATGAATAGTCACCCCCAAGTAACCAACAAATATTTATTTCACAAACTATTTTGCTCACTAAATTCTTTCTTCAACTGCATATACTATGCTCTTAAATTTACATAGCCATTTAATTTTATCCTTAAAATTTTTTCTGGTGGTCCTGGGGATTAAACTCAAGGCCTCACTTTTGCTAGGCAAGTGCTCTACCGGTTGGGATACTCTGTTAGCCCTTTAATTGTTTTTCATTTCTAGAAGTTTATTTTATCAATATGCTTGGTCACTTTAATGATGAGTTGCTTTTTTCACTTTTCAAGTTCCTTAAATTTCTATAAACATATTAATTGTACTTCCTTTCATGCTGTGTGCTAACAATTTTGTTATCAGAAGTCTTGGTGGCTTCTTGGTATGGTGTCTAACTCATCTCTGTTGCTCTCACTCTTGGTCCTTAGCTTACTTGTGCATTTTGTGATTTTTTATAAAATTGCGATCTCAACTGTTTTGAACATTGTTTCTGGGAAGTCTCTGAGGCCTGCGTTGAAGATGGGTTCTTTCAGGGATGCTTTAATTTGATTCTGCATGGTAGGCATTAGAGGAAAGGACAGACTGGGGACTGCTTTAAATGAGCTGAGGATTTCTGACCACTCAGAAAAATTAAAATTGGGTTGCAAGCTCATGTGAGGGCCGACTTACTGTTATAAACGCTCAGAAGGAAATCTCCCTATCCCCATTTAGCACTAGGTTTTGAGAAAGGCACTTCTTTTTATAGTTTCTGAAGGTAACTATTCCTTCTTCATCTTATACTGACAGTTCAATCTTTTAGGGTTTCCGATTTATATGGGAATGGTTTTCTCCTAGATGCCTCTGAACTTCTCCGTGCTCCTTATGCACAAAGAGGCTTTGAGAACTGACACTCAAGTTTATTTAATTTATTAAATATCCTTAAGGTGAAAGCCACCTCCAATGTGCTACTTCTCTGGTTTCCCCCTTTTACTTAATTATTGATTTCTGGGTATTCTGCTAATTTACTAGTTATTGATATGATTAAAATAGTTATGTTTATAACAATATCTTACTACGCTTGTTAGTTTTTTTTTTCAGAAGGGTGCTCTTTCTGATAACTTAGTCCACCCAAACTGCCAGAAACAAAAGTTCTTCCCACCCACATCTGGCATATTTCCTGGGAACTGTATCTGATGTCAGTCTACATGTAATAGTCCTTACCAGATCGTTATGCCAATGAGCAAGGGGATAAAGATTATCCCATATGCATGTTTTGATTCTAAACTAGCAATAAAAGCTTGAAAAACTTTTACCTGATTTTAGGTGTTAATAGGAAGCACTTCTAGAATGGCATTATAAGGATATCTGTGGATCTTCTCCCCAGTGAAACAACCATAACTAATGAAAATTATAAAATTCAACCATTTAAAGGTCTCTGGAAATTGTCCTAAGCTCATATGCAAATCAAGAAACACTTTTCTTCCATGTTACAGAAGCTCTTGTCCAAGCCAAGAAGTATGGAGATCCTTTCCTCAACCAGCCTTTACTAATAGAGAAGGTACTGGTCCCATTCATTATGCAAGGAAAGGCAAGGCAGGAAGACCAAGTGCCACCCACTACCTTTGCACAGCAACCCTCTTGAAGACCAGAGATTTCATTCAAAGAAAAGCAGGCTGGCCAGGTGCCAGTGGCTCATGCCTATAATCCTAGCTACTTGGGAAGTGAGATCAGGAGGATTGGAGTTTGAGGCCAGCCCTCCCACCCCCCCCCAATAAATTGTTCATGACACCCCATCTCCAAAATAACCAGAGGAAAATGGACTGGACGTGTGGCTCAAGCAGTAGAGCACCTGCTTTGCAAGCAGGAAGCCCTGAGTTTAAACCCCAACCATCCTACCCCCTCAAAAAAAAAAAAAAGGAAAGAGAAAAGCAGGCTGCTGTCCCTGTACCAGTTCTGGAGTAGTGACACAGGGGCTCTATCAACAGGGTGAGATACCATAAAAACACAGAACTCCATGGGTCTTCTAAAGGGAAATTAATTTATTTGGGATTGAGTGTGGGAAAGTTAAGGCCTAAGGTGCTAAAGAAGACAAGAAAAACTTTGGTGGTGAACAATTAAGAGGCCGACAGGTCCACAAGAGAATACTAGATCAGGAAAAAGTTTAACAAACATTTAACCAGGGAGCCAGAAAAGCCATCCTGGGCCAGAGCATGCTTGGAGGACCAGCTCAGACATTACCCCTGAAAAAGGGCCTGACTTCAATCAGATCGGGCTGGGGTGGTGGGGTAGGGTACAATGTATGCTACAGGCCAAAAGCAGTAGAGGAAAACAACTAGAAATAAGTGGAGGCTAACAGTAGAAACATCAGCCAAAACCTAACAAAGATTAAGCAAAAAGGCAGTCAGAGAGAGTCATCTAGAAGAATGATGCCATTAAAAATGAAAAGTAAGAATGTCACTCACAGCTGTGCCTTCTGAGGAAGGACATTAGAGGCATACTACAAGGGAATATACTTCACCAAAATAGTCTTCCTAAGTTTGCTATGCAAATAAGCAAACACAAAGCCAGTGGCGGAAGCGGGACATGTAGTGAGTGAGGAGGATCAGTATTCACAATTGCTATTTTATCTAAAATGTCCAATTGTTAACAAACATAATACATGCAAAGAAAGTATGGTCTGCACAAAGGAAAAAAGCAGATGACAG